ACACCGCGACGGAAACTTAGCCATTTTGGGAGCGAACTCATAAATCCTTTTTGAAATATTCTCATAGAATCCGTAAACATTGTGCTAGTTGCAATACAGTCTACATGAAAACTTCATATAACAGCAGAATGAAGAATTAAGTGAACTGGACTCATGACCGGATGGATTTTTGAGTGTTTTCAACTAGTGCAATCCGAGTGCTTTCATGAAAAGTGATTACATTTGTTGATACTAGTGAGAGCCATTTCCTTCAGCGATGAATGGTTTTGTTAGATGTTTCATCAAATGTTTGCTTAGAAAACGGGATCACTTTATGGATCATGCTGTGATGGGAAAATGTTCTCATACGTGAAACATGAGTGTAATATGAGTTCCAAGACATCTTCAATTTATCCACGAATACACACATAAACGATTACGATTGAATGGATGGGCGATGCAAATGGGCAATAATTTCGATAATTTTCCACTGATTCGCATTTCAGCAGTGTCATTTGAAGTTTTTCATAAGGTGAAGATAAATCCACAGAAACTACAGATGAGCCAAAAAAATAAATTCAGAAGCAATTGAAAGCGTCTTTTTTTTGAAGGATATCTACTATGCAGGTCGAAAATCTTTGGATGAATTGGTTTTCTTATTACACAACAGACGACGTTTTATTGTTGAAATGACTTTGACAATGACCGCTCAGCAAAAAATTAAAGTTTGTTCTGTTCGTTTAATTGTTCTTGGAAAATTGGAAAAGACCACTCGAAGATGTCAGTCACATAAATTTGTTGAACTCGTCAATCCTTCTCGAGGCAATTGAGACGAACATCGATGATCATTGTTAAGGATTAAACCCGTTTGCATTCTCACTTAAATCATATTGTACTGATTTCAGTCACAACTACAAACGCCCACACATGATCAACTATCATTTCTGACAGTTATTCAAGAAGATGAAAGCGACACCTTGAGGCGAGCAACCTCGCCAGCTGTCTACACACTCACAAATACGGAATGTAATGGAAATGATCTACAGACAAGGCCCACTGCTCCTAAGCTCTCCAGTTGGAAAGCGAATATATAATATAACGCTTCAAAATGATTATCAGTCATGGGTCAGAGCTAAATTCGTCGCCGTGAAAAGTGTTATTTTTCATAATCAACTGGAAAAATAAAACTTTTTGAAATTGAACATTACAATGTTTCATTGTGATCTCACACATCATCATCTGAATATCAAACTAAAATATCGCAATAATACAATATGTGTAGTCACAGTGATCCAGTGATCATCTGAAATACCAGCTGAAAAGTGAGAGTTTACATAAAAGGAAACACGTGCTTAAGGGAAACCGTTCGCAATGTAAGGACAGCACTTTGGAGTTTGTTTCGTCTTTGTGAAACTTTTAGACGTCTGATTATTATGTACTTCTTCGATCTCTTCGGTACTCAAGGTGGAGCATTCTCAGAACAGAATGTAACAATCCTGTAGTGATAATTATCATGAGTTGAAAGAACGAAATTTTTTAACAAATTACTTTCAGATATTTTGTTCTCTTTTCTCGCGTTTGTTCTGTTTTGTCAATCAAAAAAAAAGCAACAAAAAAATTTGCTCATTTATGTTACATTTCGACACTAAAAGTGGAAATTTCCAAATCATCAAATTCCATAATCATTGGATCCAAATCCCCACCAAAGATCTGACTTCTTCTTTACTCTTCAATTAAAGACACCATTCACGAATTCGTTCTTCTCAAACTATTTTGTAACTTCTACGAACTATCGAATACTCTTTTATACAACATAGCTCTCGGCTATTTATTTCTAATGAGCACACACTACAACCATCGAATTTCATTCATCAATGCCACTATCTCAACCAGTGTGATTTGTCGTTGAAGAACGGATAATAATTTACACCGGCCAAAAACACTGCTGCTGAACAGTCGTCGTAAAACCTCCAGCGGACAGTTACGCTGAATTTATTGAAACGAAAGCAATAAAATATGTACAAAACGGACCTCTACGAAGAAAATGAATTCGGCAAAAAAAAACACGGAAATTACACAGAACTGAAAGTAAAAAAAACAATCATAATATCACAATATCATTTGTAGTCGAAAGGTCTCCTCACAAGACGGCGAATTTGTCCTCGGAAAAGCAAAGAATAAATGGACAAAAGTACACAAAACATATGCCTTCGTGAACATGCGGTATGTGCACAACATGTTCCTTTTCAATAAACTATCACATAATGAATTCATGAAAAATGAAAAAAAAAAGTTTGATGAGATTTGGAAGTGAATCTGTTCACTTCATGAGTGTAAAACAAAACACTGAATGTGATGATGCAAGAGATACTGCGCAAAAAAAAACAGATGGAATACGCAAAATGGAACCGAAGATGGGTTGAAGAATTGAATACGGATTAAGATTATGACAACTAGAACAATATGCAACACTATCGAAAAGATACCAGAAGAAAGCATTTGATTAGAACATAAGAAATTATCAGCGTATATGCAATTATATGGCGTTGAAGAAATGCGATAAAATTTGCAAAATAAGAATTCACAGCCATTATTATTATTATTATTATTATTATTACTGCGCTTAATATAACATCATGAAGGACTTCATGAATTTTTGACAAGCGTCGTATATGAGAGTACGAAATAACAGCATATGATTCTCAAAGCATGCAAAGACAAACGTGATTCAAAAAAGCTGCGTGTTTCGTCAATTTCAAAAAGACGAAAAACCATGAGTCTGCCTATTATGAGACTGTAATTTCAGCAATCGCCAACAGCAACGCAAATTGTGCAGCTGAAATAGACTGAACGCACAAATCATACGAGTTGCTAAGTTTCATTATTACGAACGATCCCAAAGAACGTAGGATAGCGAATAAGAGTGACCGAATCCCAAAAACATCAACTGAGTTTGACTACGACATCTGGTACAATCAGAATATTTGCGTGCGATAAACACATTTATGCACAATTATGAAAGGAATGAATACTGAATAAGTGTGGATATCTTTAGTACAACGGAGTAAGGCGCAGAGGAGAGAGGTTCCAGAATGTTATCGAATAATCGACTTATTCGTCCCAATCCACCCATCCTTCGGTACTTTTTTCGTTCGGCTCAGGTGATGCACCACGGGAATTTGCCGCCTTCGGAGTCCTCGGTCCTCCATCGCTATCATCTTGAATCTCCTGAAACGACTTGAGTCAATCATCAATAAAACATAGTTCCTTCCTCCTTCGATTCTGCATGAATCACAATCCGACATATGAAAGTGTATCAATGGAACAACCTGAATCTCAATATTGGTACTCGAACAAACACTCCACGTTTCGTCTGCTGATTTATCGCTTCGTTCCGATGTATTCTTTGAATTATCCGACGTTCCTACAATAGAAAATCACTGAAAAGACGCTTCCATCCACATTTGTGGAAGACCAAAACATCAAAAATGTGAGCGAATCGAAATGACCATCTGATATTTGAGATGGGAGAGCGATTCTCAAACGACGGCGGCAATGCATCTGAAGAACTCACTCAACAGCCACTGCTTTTCCCCACTGTACAACCATGTCTTGATGAATAGAAGACGGAAATTCCAGTTACGATATTTCACGTAAGGTGAATGTCAAATCAAACAAGAACAAACAGCAAAATGCGACAAAAATTCACATACTGGATTTATCTGATGGCGTGGACTGATTACTCTCCGTCGTTTCCGTACCAACACTTAGCAAATCTGAATCCTTCTTACAGAGTTGCACCATTTCCGTTTGATACACCTTGTAAAAGTATCGTTTCCAGAATGTCTGATTATCCAGAACCGACGGTACCTGGAGTATTATGAGAAATTTATTACTTCCTCAAGATTCACTCTTATGATCTCAGAGTAATCCCATTTCTATCCTCTAACAGTATGCAGCCAGCCCCACCAATGAATATAACCATAATTTGGAAAAGTGTTCTTTCTCATATACGCAATTCAACGGCATCACTATTCATACAAATGATTTTTTTTTCCAAATTTTTCCCCATACTCGAATATATTTTTGACCTTCCAGCACGCTTACTGATATCTTCACTAATGTAGTAGGCGCATACAGTCACCAATTAAGATGAGAAAATTTTTTAGGAATATGATTTAAAAAGGTTTCAACACCTGAATGACTCGACCAGCATCGCTATTAAGTGAACCATTCAGTGACAGTGAGCAATCAAAGTGTAATCGTTAGAAACGATAAACAAACTAATGGAAACATTTTAGTGAGTAACTCACCAACTCTTGATATAGCGCTCTCATTGGAGGACAATTCTTCAGTAAGGCATTGATTTCTTCATCGTATTCACCAATTTTGAATTCATTTGCCCAAAATGCATACAGTTCTGCGTCCCCATCAGGTTCTGCTACGAATGTTTTTTTGCTCGTTTGAATCTCATATAAAATACACTGAAAAATAACAACCATCTTAAAACAATGCGAAAACGTCAACCTCTTGATAGAAATCCACGCATGGCAATCGTACACTTCAAATTCAACTACCAGTAAGCTTCTGGAGTTTTCCCCATACATATATTATACCTTAGCCTTGCTGTGTAGTAGGTATCTCCCGATCATAACTAAACTTTGTGAATAAATGGACCTATGAACCGAATATTTCCGAGCCTTGCCACCTGTACGTATGCTCAACTAGACTCTCGTCATCGGAAATTTCACATGATGCTGCTCAGGAACAGTCAACAAATTCATCCAAACAAAAACACACATGTGGTAAGTGGTTTCGTCGTAATAATTTCTCGCTATCCGACAGCGGTTTCGGTGGAATTGCTTCCGTATGCTGATCCTCGTCAGCCGTGGTGTCCTCTTGAGCGATACTCTTCACAGTATCGACGAATGATTTCACCCAGCTACTGCTCGAAAGTGTGCTCATGTGTGGCAATTTCGGTGCCCATCCGAACGAAAAAGCCGATATACCGCCACCAGTTTCCGACTCTGTTTCTGTAGTTGGTGTTTGATCCTGGAACAAAACATGTCGTCTGGTGATTACAAAGCTACTGGAGTGAGTCGATATGGAATGAAATTCTCACGCACATTTCACAATTCAATTCACTCATGAACCTCACCAACATGCTAACTTGCTAAGCAGATAAATATTCAAGAATATCATAATTCAAATCTCCAGTGCGAAAAATCAAAGTAACGATTACATTGACGTCCATACTTAGCAATGACAAAAATTACCGACCATTACAAGCAAACTTCAAAAGTAACATTCGTTTAATTCAGAGTCAATTAATTTGTAACAATAACTCTGCGCAGATGACCGTTTCTGAATGAGATTCAGTTAAGTTCCTAGCAAAAAATGTGTTACCTTCTCTACAATTTCGGCACGTTGTCCGTCCACTTCACCAGGCAGAACAGCCTGCTCCTCTACGGGACTGACAATTTGTTGAAGACTCTGGGCTTGATGCTTGACACTTTCCACTGTACTACTGGCAATGGCTGATGCTTCATTGGCCACAACATCACCCAATTCAGATAAGTCTTTTTTTACTAGTTCGAATGTAGTGAACGTCTGCAAGTTCACTTAATCAGGTATATTCAATGAAGACCCATCAGTTCGTCACATACATTGTCTGTCTGTAGTCGATCAGTAGTTCGACACCAGCATCGAAACGGTTTGGAGTGGAACTAACGGTAATCATAATCGAAAAAGTCATGG